TGGTGTGAACATGGAGATACTTTACTTTGAACAAGTCATGCAGAAAATGAATATTTTTTTTTATGGCTTATTTCAGAATTTCGCGCAAAACTACGCAATGTTATCTGCGCACAGATTTTCTTGATTCTAACTGATAGACTAGAAGGAAGGTAGCTTGTCAATAGAGCCAACCCCCAATTCTAGGACTACTCTTTTCTGACCGACTAGAGAGATTTGTCCGTCACTCTTATAACATACCATGGCCCCAAAGTGAAAGTGCGGCAACGAACTGCGAACCACGAATCCACTGATTAACAGTCCAGGTAAATTAATCGTTAGGTCACACCCGGCCTACGTATTTGTAAAGAACCTAAAACTCTAATATCTATAACTTAGTTTACAAGTACATCATCACCACGGCTGCCTCCCTTGGTTGAAAATTCATCGTGAGTAATTGAACTGATTTCGTCGGTATCACACTTTCCTAAACCTTAACTAAATTTTACATGAAATTTGTCGGTTGTTTGTTTTAGCACAAAGCAACACAATAGGCTATTTGCACTCTCTTCATCATATGGAATCGAACCCCGGATTTTAGAATTGTAAGTCCCTAAACTTACCATGGGATGACGTTTTACATGAAATAAGAATCCGTTTGAGTAATTTTTAATACAAATAACATGGAAATTTATAAATCACAGAATTTCCCCCAGAAAGTTTTGTCTATCGAACTACCTATTGTATACTTTGAAAGAAAAGACATGATCCCCTCCCTCACCAGGAAGCACAACACTTACAAGTGCGGTCAGAAGGGATATAATTTTGCTTTATGCAGAGAATATATAAATTATATTGACCTTATCGTCGATTCATACTCAACTTGTACCTGGCAAGTAGCTAAACTTTATACCTAATAAACTTGCCAGTTTCGTAACTGGGGGACTAAACTTCCGGTATATGAGAGTTTTCAGTTTGGCTGACATCTATGTAGAATGTACCACCCGGAAATGTTGCTTGCAAACGCAGTGGAAACTTGTTTTGATGTTATCCAACATGAATAAATGGGCAAGTCAGGCCACAACTTTTCTGAAAGCTAACATCATCACTACCGATCTTGTTTATTGACGAAGAGAAAATATAAGTTGTAGTTAAAAATAAAAAAAATTCTCTCATAATTCTCTCAATACATTTAGTAAATATATATATTTGTTATTTATCTTAACATGTTAAATGATTGAAATGTTATTAAATCCTCTAGCAACATTATTAAGCAATAGTTTCAGAACAGTTTAAAAATATATCTATTGGGCTAGTAGGTGAAACATTTTTTTTATAGTGCATTGATCCCATCGTTAATGCTTCAATATTCGCCTGTGTATGTGGTACACGTCGTGTGCATTGCCTGCGTGAGAACCTCGTGCTCGCTATGAGAAACATAGTACAACGTGATCTCGCGCATGTACCAAAGTTAGAAAATAAGAGGGAATGTTTCTTATAAACAACAATATAAAAATATGGCATTCTTTTAGGGGGAGTATAGTTAAATACATTGGATAACTTACTATGAACTTCTTAAGAACTCATAAAAAGTTCTTCCTCAGTGAGTGATTTATATGTGTGTAAAAAACAATTATGGAATAACCTTGCTTACTTGTTGAGTGATTTATATGTGTGTGTGTAATAAACCCATTTTGTTGAGTGATTTATATGTGTGTAAAAAACAATTATGGAATAACCTTGCTTACTTGTTGAGTGATTTATATGTGTGTGTGTGTGTGTGTGTGTGTGTAATAAACCCATTCTTGTTGAGTGATTTATATGTGTGTGTGTAATAAACCCATTCTTGTTGAGTGATTTACATGTGTGTATGTGTAATAAACCCATTCTTGTTGAGTGATTTATATGTGTGTATGTGTAATAAACCCATTCTTGTTGAGTGATTTATATGTGTGTATGTGTGTGTAATAAACCCATTCTTGTTGAGTGATTTATATGTGTGTGTGTGTGTGTATAACAAACCCACTCTTGTTGAGTAATTTATATGTGTGTATGTGTAATAAACCCATTCTTGTTGAGTAATTTATATGTGTGTGTATGTGTAATAAACCCATTCTTGTTGAGTGATTTATATGTGTGTGTGTGTATAATAAACCCACTCTTGTTGAGTAATTTATATATGTGTGTGTATAATAAACCCATTCTTGTTGAGTGATTTATATGTGTGTGTGTGCATGTGTAATAAACCCATTCTTGTTGAGTGATTTATATGTGTGTGTGTGTAATAAAC